AGGGACGGGGGTAGAAAGGGAGAGAGAGAATCCCAAGCAGGCTCTATACCGCCAGTAATGCAAAAAATCCAACCAGGGGCTTGAACACACAAACTGTGAGATCATGACCTGAGCTGAAGTCAGGCACTCAACTGACTGAGCCACGCAGACACCCCTGTTTTTTTATTTTTATTTTGGAGAGAGACAGTGTGTGCACAAGAAAGAGCAAGGGAGGAATGAAGGGAGAATCTTAAGCAGGCTCCAGGCTTAGCACACAACCTGACTCCGATCCCACAACCCTGGGATCATGAAGTGAGCTGAAATCAAGAGCCAGATGCTCAACAGACTGAGCTACCCAGGTGCCCCTAATACTTTTTAATAAGCACTACTGAGATATAACGCACATACCACACTGATAGGGGAAAGAAAGACAAATGAAAAATTAAGAATTCAATGATGACACTTGATTCTCCATGATTCTCCATGATCCTGTAAGTCTACTTTAACATAGAAAAATTCCTTTGGAAACTTCCTTTATCTATATGCCTTCCCCACCCCCCAAGATATACGTTGGCAATCATCCTCCAAGCTCATATGGCCTACTGATATACATCCGAAGGGTTCATAACTGAGTTTTTACTAAACGGTAATAAAAGACCTTTCCCTAACAGGAACTAGCCCCTTAAGGTCCTGAAAACCTGGTTTCCAAAATACCTTAGACTTACACCATCCCTAACACCCTCCCAACCTGATGGTATATACTCAGTCACTCTTCATAACCCCGAAGCATCCAACTTCGGCTCCGGTCATGATCACACAGTTTGTGGATTCGAGCCTGCATCGTGTTCTGTGTTGACAGCACAGAGCCTGTAGCCTGTTTCAGATTCTGTGTCTCCCTCTCTCTCTCTGCCCCTCCCCCACTCATGCTCTGTCTCAAAAATAAATAAAACAAAAAATTAAAAACAAACAAAACATAAAACAAAACAAAAACCCACCTTTTTACACAAAGCACATTTCAAGAATTCTTTCTTGGCCATCAGCTTCCAGACCCTTTTCCCCACCACTCCAAAACAGCATCAATACAATTCACTCATTTATTTATTTATTTTTATACATAATTGTCAAATTCACTTACATACAGCACCCAGTGCTCATCCCAACAAGTGCCTTCCTCAATTCCCATCACCTACTACAATTTGCTCATTTAAAGCATACAACTCAGGGCCACCTAGGTGGCTCAGTCAGTTGAGTGCCTGACTTCAGCTCAGGTCATGAACTCGATTTGTGAGTTCGTGCCCCAAATCAGGCTTGCTGCTGTCGGTGTGGAGCCGCTTAGCAATCTCTGCCCCCTCTTTCACTTGCACTCTCTCTCAAAAATAAAAATATTCAAAATGTACAATTTAATGGTTTTTAGCATATTCACAATGTCTGTGATATTATTCAAAGTTAAATGTTGTGACCAATGTAGAGATCATGAAAATCTCCAAAAAAAAGATAAGTTCACTAGGCCTAACAAGAACACTATAGTTGTTCAAAACTGGTTCTTTGCAGAACTATATTTTATAAATATATTTAACATAATCTTAATATGCTCCATATATTTCTAATTCCTGTATTTATTTATACTTCAATCCTAGCTCTATATTCTCCCATCTCAAAATGTAAAGACTAGTATTAATCTAAAACAGAAGTATTATTAAAACCAAAGCATACAAGTTGATGAATGCATATATCCTTAATTTAAAACCATTTTTTAGTTTAAAAAAGATATTACTGCTTTATGTGTGCCACACTTGGGGCATTCTGTTCTACCTAATGAAGCATTTAGTCCCCATACTCAGAGCTCAGCAATGTGCACAGTCCTTCTCTGTGAACACAGCCGCAGCACAGGTATAAATTAAAAAACCCAAAGCAGCATCTGCATCCCCATCACAGCCATCAGGAGGGCTCTACATCTTTTCAAAGCACATAATCACTCTAGGATCTAAGTGCTAAAGTTGCAACCACAGTTTAAAATAGTTCAACTGTTGTTCCTGATTTAGCTACACGGACTATTTTGTGTTACAAATCTTCATCAAATTTTATTAAAGTCAAGGATTAACACTGAAAAGAAAATGAAATATTTGCCGTTCCTTCACATAAGACCAAAGTGTCTTCTTTTCTCTTGTTCATTTGATTCTTAGCCTATGTGTATTCAGCTCTGGCCAGAGATCAATTCTGGACTTCCCAGAACTATGAAAAGAAGAAAGCTCCCCCGCACTAAAAGGTTTATACACAAGTCACAGAGTACAGAACAGCCTAACAAGGAAGCTGAGTACTTTAAATCTTAATCATCAAAGCAGGAGAGTAATAAAAGACCAAGTGTCAAGAGTTAAGTAGTACTGTATATGATAGGTTTGGGTCTCTCTCGTTTTTAAAAATATTTAATGCTTACTAACTTTTGAGAGAGAGAGAGAGAGAGAGCGCAGAATCCTAAGCAGTCTCTAGGCTCTGAGCTCTCAGAAGCGAGCCTGATGTGGGGCTTAAACTCAGGAACTGTAAGATCATGACCTGAGCGGAAGTTGGACACTTAACTGACTGAACCATCCAGGCACCTGAGGGGTCTCTTTATTTGCAGCCATATAATCAGCATTTATTGGCAGCTTACAGTAAAAGCAGGAAAGGGGCAGACTTCATCCCATCAAGTTCTAATATTTCAAATAAATAAAAATAGCAGTGGAAAATTGTTTTCAACTCTATAAAATCTCTCCAAGAATATTTTTCACCGGTAGTGTAATTTTATAGGGCCCAATTAACACAGGGTAGACACCCAACAGCATGACAAAAGACCAGTCCACAATCTATCAATCCAAACTTTTCCCTTTTTATGCGGAAAAAGAGTGAAGAATAATAACATGGCTTATATAAAAAACTATAGGACCTTACTGGACTATCACGTTAAGTGAGAGTCATTTTTCATATCCTTAATTCCAAATGGTATGTATTTTTTTCTCAAAGTAGTAATACCTCACTTTCCATATCTAGTATAAATTGTTACTTTATAGATAAAAACAGTCAGTGAACATAGCCACAAGTGAGGTTAGGAAGTGAGTGCCACATTTTCCTAGGCTTCTCCCTGGCTATGAATCACAGTTGTCAATGACACACCATGAAAACATGTACAGGTATAACCTATTCAAAGCAAGATACCGCTCCAAAGTTCAGAACCCCAAGAACCAAAGTACATACAGTAAAAGTGCATGTATTACTAATATAGAGATCATAACTTTTCTTACACAGAGCTTCTTCTATTGTTGATCTGCTCCCTAGCTGTAGCAGAGTAATATGCACACTTCTGGACAGTGTGATGCACTAGTTTTATGATGAAAATAACAGACGGGTATTACAATTTACTGTATTAAAATATCTCCCTCAAACCCCAGACTTGTAATGCTTTTCTTGCATACGATCACTGTGAAATCTTATGTGAATCCAGAAGTTTTCTAAGCAGTGCAGGCATGTTTAAGTGTATGTGTGTGAGAGAGAGGCGAGAGAGATGCACACAAAGTTGGAATAAATAAATGAAAAGTTATGAAGAGAATATAATTCTGTGAGAGGAACACCGTGCTTCATCAGTTTAAGTCACAAAAAGGAAAAATCCAAGAAAAGAATCTCTGGCTAATCACCCCTTTATTCTGTTTTTTTTTTGTTTGTTTTTTTTTTTAAAGAAATCTGTCCTGTCCTTCAATATGGCATTTTCTCATTTACTACGTGAAACTAGTGTGAACACCACAAGGATTTTTACAAGCAAATTTGATATTAGCCAACTGCTCTAACACCATTAATTCCGGTGGACTTCAGCCCTGATCATGCCGCTGTTTTGGAAACGTACCTACTCTGTTGTGGCTACTTTCTGAGCTCCCCGAGCTTGGTGCAGCGGCCACGCGGATGCCACGTACAAGTCCCGCATTTAGAAGTGCCCCCCAGGCCCGGGCACTGACTGGCTGGCGTCCCTGTTCAAGCCGAGAGCGGCGGTCCGGGTTCTCCAGCATCTCGGGGCCGCACGTTCACCGTGTACCAACAGGACGTGAAATCCCCAGGGCCCCTGACGACGGGCTTCTCGGGTGCTGCTGCTCGGCACCCCAGGCGGTGCCACCGGCTCCTGCCGGCCTGGGGCCACACACCCGGAGCGGACTCCCCACCTTCTCAGGACCGGAACCGGCGCCCATTCTCCACGCCCGTCTCTCCCCTAAAGGAAAATGACCCTTCTGACACTCACAGGCGGGCCATCCTCACACCCCGCTTACACAGAGCCTCCCGCGAACATCATTTAGAAAGAAGCACCATTTTCTACCGTCTGGAACTGTGACAAGCGTGCGTGAAAGTCACGGGTCAGGCAGAAACCAGGGAGTGACGAGAAGACGAGGAGGACGCCCATGCACTAGTTCCCTAACCGCAGAAATAAATAATGCAGACAAGCTGATGCGGGTAAAAATAAAATAATCAATAGCGTGACTCTTGTTCTTAGCGCGAAACTTCCCGAACCCCCGCCCCCCAAATTCACATCGGAATCCGGTTCACCCTCTGCGGAGCCTGACATTACTCAAGAAAAATGCGAAACAGACTTTCAACCATCTTAACACCAACAGACCTTGTGGAGGACCGTCCCTGCTCCCCTGTGTCACAAACGGTCAGGAAAGGACAGTCTTCCCGGAGCAGGAAGAGCCAACTTCTCCAGAAGGCTCGCAGAGCGGCGGGTCTCCAGGCCGCGCCGCCGCCTCCCGGAGCGCACATTCCAGGGCTCGCGGACGGAAGGGCGCGGACCCGCGACGCGGCCCCCGCGGGGAAGCTCGCCACGCACTTCGCCCGTGCGGCCCCGCGCGGGGCTGGGAGAGACCTGGACGGACGGGCGGGCGCGGCGACACTGGCGGGGACGCCTGACAGGTACGGGGGGCGGGGAGCCGGGCGGCGGTCAGGACACCCCAACCCGGGCGGGCCGGCTCGGACTCGGCGGAAACCGACGGCGGGGCGCGGGCACTCACCCAGGCGGGCAGGTCGCAGGCGCGCACCCCCAGGCGCACGGCGCGCTCCTCGTCTTCCAGCAACGCCAGCGCACGGCACAGGCGCGTCGCCTTGAGGCCGCGGCTCCTCCGGCACCACACGAGCAGCCCGAGCGCCAGCAGCACCCAGCTGAAGCTCAGGCCCAGGTAGCCTAGCGCGTACACCGGCAGCAGCAGCGCGAAGCTGCGCGCCAGCTGCGCCAGCAGCCCCGCCACGTCCACGCTCAGCGCCGCGCCCGGGGACTCGGCCTGGGCAGCGCCCGCCTCGGGGCCGCGGTCCCCGGCGCCGCTCATCCCGCAGGGCTCGCGTCCCCACCCGGCCGCGGCGCCTCAGCCCGCGCACCAGCGCCCCTCTGAGGGGGCCGCGCCGCCGCTGCCGCCCGCCCGCGCTTCCGTCCGCGGGCGGCGTACGACGCAAGCACGCAAGCTGGGCGGGGCGGCGGCCGGGCGCGGCCCTGGGTCACCACGCGGGGTGGGCGGGGCTGATGGGTGACGTAACCGTGCGGGCGCCACTGAGGCGGCCGGGCGAGGCCCTGGAGCCGAGCCACTGACTCACGACGCGAGGGCGGGGCCGCACTGCTACCTCACCGCGGGGGCGGGGCTGGCGTGGAAAAACACCGCGCGGGGCGTGCCGGGCACGGCTGAGGCGGCGAGGCGCGCCGTCGCGTGGGCAGGCTGGGGTGCCGCTGTGGCGCCTACCGAGGCACCTACCGAGGCTGCGTGAGCGGGACTACTTGCTCACGCTTCCGCGGGGGCTGGCGGGCCGCCGTCTGCGGCGGGAGCGGGGTCCCGCGCGTGACGTGACCGCGCGAGGAGCGTGTGGCCCGGCCGGCCGCGCGGTGGCGGCGTCCCCTCGGGGCGCTCCCTGGAAGGCTCTTGTGGAATGGCAAGCGCAGGTTCCGGCGCGTGTGTAACACCTGCCCGCCTCAGGAAGAGCCTAAGTGAAGCCGGAGCGCGCTCCTTGGCGGCTGGGTGGTTGCCCCTGCGCCGGGAAGGCCGCAGCCTGAGCGTGCGTCCCTGGAGCTCTCCCGGCTCGCCCGGAGATGAGAAAAAGGCGACGGGGTAGGCCTGCTTTCGTGTGTATGAAATGAAGAGTTTTGGCTTGAAAACGTGCCCGAGGTGAATCCAGCGCCTGCACTCCTTTTTGTTTTTTTAGGTTTACTTGTTTATTTTGAGGGAGCGCACGTGAGCAGGGGAAGGGCGGGAGAGAGGGAGACGCGCGGGCTGGCGGCACCGTCGGTGCAGAGCCCGCCCCGGGGCTCCGTCTCCCAAACGCCGAGGTCACGATCCGGGCGGAGAGCGAGTCTGCGGCGGACGGACTGAGCCCCACCGCCCGCCCCCTAGCGCCTGTGCTCCGAAGTAGGGAGCTTTGTGGTTTCCTTGAAAGATGCCGTCCAGGCTGCCTCCCTGTTTCTTAGCAGAGGGGGAGAGAGAGGGAGCCGGCGCACGGCGGAGGGAGGAGAGCCGAGGGAGCCGCAGGTCTCCCGTGGGCCCCCGGTCAGCGCGGAGCCGGACGCGGGGCTCAGTCCCGCGGCCTGGGATCGGGACCCCTGACTGATCCACGCGGGCGCCCCCAGGCCCCCTGCTTCAAGCACTCGTTTAGACCCCATTTGCGACTCCGGAGAAGAAATCACAGCCCTTGGTTACTTTATTTTCCAGAAAACTCCATCAGAATAATTCCCAGTTAAGCGGTTCTGAGCATATTGAGTTCCAAGGAAATTTTAATTCCATTTATAACAGTAGAGCTAATTTTTTTTCTTCTTCCTCTTCATATCTTTGTGACTGACAACCTTGATCATCAGGAAGGGCAGGGACTTCCCGGGTGAGAAATAAAGCATACCTAGGTGTTTTTAAGCCTTTGTTGCGGTGTTTCATGTGACACAAGGTCTTCCCCGCCGTGTGGCAAGGACTTGGACTAGTAATGTGCCCGAATCACGAGTCCCCAGAGACCTGCAAGGAGCCGGCACCGATGCGAGCACAAAAGGGTCTTTATTACAAGCTGGAGCAGGGGCTCACCGTCTCCCCGAACAGTGGGGAGCAGGGTTTTTATGGGGGAAGGGCGGAGTGTTACCGTGCACACGGTGTACGTTTTGCATCATTACATAAGCACCAATCATAATTGTACAGCACCCATAGTAACAGTTTTGACCATTCAGTATCTGCCAGGGGGGTCCGGGTCCGTTACATTTGGCGGGACCCAATCATGACCTTTCAGAATCTTTTGAAAATGACCCGTTATGAGGTGGGCTCAGAGGATCTCCGCCGGGCTTATGCAAGCGGTGATTGATTGACAAGTTTGTACACAGTAACTACCTGCAGTTCCCAGCCCTGACTGTCTCCAAGACTATAGGAATGTTACACATTTCTTTTTTAATTTATTTTTAGGAGAGAGAGACAGCGTGAGCAGGGGAGGGTCAGAGAGAGAGGGAGACACAGACTCTGAAATAGGCTCCAGTCTTTGAGCTGGCAGTCAGCACAGAGCCCGACGCGGGGCTCGAACCCACAAACCACGAGACGCTCAACCGACTAAGCCACCCAGGCGTCCCATTACACATTTCTTTTGATTGGCAGATCTGTCGGAGGGTGGCTTCAGCTGAGGCTTTTCCTGGAACTGGGACTACGTGCAGCCTGAGGTTGTTTCTAATGGAGGCCTAATTTCAGTCTACTCTGTAACTTGATAACTGCAGCTGCAGGGACAAAGCCTGGTGTCTTCAGGACAAAACCTTGCCGTTCAGCAGACCACTTGCTGTGCAGTAAAAGCCCTAAAGACGAGGACTGCCAACTGAAGGCGACACTGCCATCACAGCCCTGTTAGACACCACGAATCAAGGATTTGCTGCCAACTGGAGCTTTTTGGGAGGGGGAAGCATTTGCATGCATCCATGGCTTTGCCAGTCTCATTAATAATTCAACTAGGTTTTCAGTTCCATGAGGGCAACAAACATATTTATTATGTTTATTGTTGTATCTCCAGGCTAGCATAGTGCCTGGCAGAGCAGGTACTGAATGAACAATACCTCCCTTCTCCCCTTCAGGTTCCAAAAGTAAATTACCTGTGCTTATATGTGTATGTGTGTGTGTGTGTGTGTGTGTGTGTGTGTGTGTGTGTGGCCATGGAGATATATAAATATATCTTGTATCAGGAACATTGCTTTATGGTCTCCAACAGTAATTTTGGGCAAGGACGCTAAATCAAGCAAGGGTAGAAGTGGTATTCCTTTTCTTGCTCTTCACCAAATTACATTGTTGTAAATATATAAAACAGCAAGTCTCAACCCTTTCCTCTGCAACAGCTAAATGTTTTAATACCACCTCTCCCTCAAGATTAAGTTACAAGCTTATGACAAATAAGTATGTTGTTAACACAGGAAGGAGCTTGAGCTTTTCTGTCCTATGGTCTTCCCTCTAAAAAGCTGTAGAACTGGGGAGCCTGGGTGGCTTAGTCGGTTAAGCGTCCGACTGACTCAGGTCATGATCTCATGGTTCGTAGGTTCGAGCCCCCTCATTGGGTTCTGTGCTGACAGCTCAAAGCCTCGAGCCTGTTTCAGATTCTGTGTCTCCCTCTATCTCTGCCCCTACCCCACTTGAGCTGTCTCTTTCTGTCTCAAAAATAAAAAAAAAACAAAAAAATTAAAGAAAAAAAAGCTGTAGAACCATAAAGAGTTGAGTGGACAGAAGCCACATGAAAAATCGTGGACATTCACCACAGATTATTTGACCTGAGCAGCTTAGGGATGTAAAATGCACTGAAGTGTCCATGTTGCACACCAGTCTCCCAGCCTCAGCTGCCTTCATGACCCCACTGAACCTATAGCCGCTTCCCTGTACTTCATCACACCAGCAAGGCAGAACGCATCTCATTCTGTACGGAGTCTAATAACAGACCCAGCTGGTTCTTAGGTTTTTGCTAGTATTTTTAAACCCCTCAGTTTCCTGTGACCTCTTCATGTTTCCCCCTTCCTTACCTTCTGTGCTGATACTTCTCCAATGAAAGGTGCTGCTTTCTCAGAGGAAACAAGAACATCATTGTGAGTGATCTAGTAAAAAACTATAAAGTTTCAGCCTCTGCCCTCAATCTTTCCAGTTTCAGAGAAAAATGCTGCCTCCTGTTTAAGTTCAGTCCTTTCTGCTTTGTTTCACATCCCCTGCCCTTAGCTCCGGGCCTTATCAACTATCCTGTCCACCTGTTCACCTCTTCCTGTCCGAGCTCCTTCCCTATCCCTCTATATAGGCTTCATCGTAGAGGATGGGAGACATTGTGCCTCTCTTCCTATCATACTACTACCAGGGCTCTTTTTGCCCAAGCTCACCAAGACTCCTATTGCTGTTCCAGAGATGCTCCTTTGGTGACACATTCTTTTTTTTTTTTTTTTTAATTTTTTTTAAATGTTTTTATTTCTAGGAGAGAGAGAGAGAGAGACAGCGTGAGCAGGGGAGGGTCAGAGAGAGAGGGAGATACAGACTCTGAAACAGGCTCCAGGCTCTGAGCTGGCAGTCAGCACAGAGCCCGACACGAGGCTCGAACCCACGAACCACGAGATCATGACCCAAGCGAAAGTCGGACGCTTAACTGACTAAGCCACCCAGGCGCCCCTGGTGACACATTCTTTACTGTGTGACACAGCCACACATTCTTTACTATCCGAGCCACCTGAGTAGGTTTCTGTGTTGTGCAACCAGAGGAATCAGAAAAGTCTTGGTCCTTTCTTGCCAGATGACGACAGACTGGTAGCCCTTTAATCCTGCCCTCTTTAAAAGTTCCATAGAGACTTACTCTCCCCACCGTGGAGGAGGCATGGCAGGCAAACTCGTCAGCCAGGTTATGTTAGCAAATAGACACATATATTGATGACAGTGAAAGCCAGGTTTCTTGCTGTTGGAGATCTTACAAGCATGGAAAGGGAGAGGCCAAAAAGAACCTTGATGTGATGAATTTGACTTGGAGGAAGTACAAACTCATGTGTTTTGATACATATGCCCAGAGAGACCTAGAAATACTTTCTAATATGTCTTCTGAGAGTGTCCAGAAGCAATGGTACCCCAGTACCAATAAGCACAAGTAACTCCAATTTTGGAGCAATTTGTGCTCCAGTAGATCTTGGGTTCTAAATCCTATTCTCCAATGAAAGGAACTGGACACCTCTGGAGAAATAGTTGACTACAGGGCTGGAGCAGTGAAAATACAAGGTAAGCCTGGAATATTTTGTTGCGCCAGGCAGTATGAAAATGGTCAAAGAATCATGTAATGTCAAAGGACGTGGGAGGCAACTTGAAGGGCTCTTGCTGATTAAATCTGGGACTATCTGAGCAGCAAAATCAGGGATAACATTGGCAGATTACAAGCCAGGGAGTAAAATAGGAACCCATAAGCCCATACTGATGTAGGTGAATGAGCAAGTGAAGAATGCACAGAAAATAAGTCACTGGAGTCAAAGGAATGGGAAATCCCCACTTAGCAGTCATTGTAGAGTAAATGTGAGTTATCAACAGAGGCTAAGTGCAGTAGGTGAGGTTTGATGAGGAATAATACTTGAATACTTTCTACAAGATACTTATCAATTTAAGGGAGAAAGGAGCACAGCAGCATTTCTGGGACATTTTGCCAGAGAGCTTGGGAAAGCTTGACCTGAGTGTAGGGGCTCGGGACAGATGCCATGTAGGGTCCCCGTGTTCTTACTGAAGAATTAATTATTCCAGATTACAAGAGACTGAAGAGACACAACAGCTACATGCGGCGTGTGTTCCTGTGTGGGATCTGGGCTGTAAAGGAAAAGAAATGCTTTGGGACAATCGGTGGAACAAGGGGTCTGTGGATTGGACAACAGAGTTGTATCCATGTTGACTGACTTCTTGACTAGAGCGTTATGGAGTAGAGGCTGCCCCTGTTTTGGGGAAACAAACACTGGAGTATTTCGGAGTGATGAGTAATCGTACCCGAAGCTCTTTGTCAAATAACTCAGGACAAGTCCAATGATAACAGATAAGTGTATGTGTAGACAGATGAATGCTGGATGACAGACAAGTGGAGCAAATGTGTCAGGTGGTTTGTAGTGGGAATCTGGGCGATGGAGACCGGAGTGCTATGTACTTGCATATTTTCTCCAAGTTTGAAATTAATTCGAAAGTCATTTTTAAAAGTCCATATTTTGATCAAATGACCAATTCAAAATGCAGACTTGATTGAATCTCTTCCGTGCTTTGGTTTCCTTTGCTCCTATTCATGACAAACAGAGCTTGTTCACATCTGACCCTCCTGCTTGCCTCACCTCTGACCTGGGCTGCACTGCTGTTTCCACCGCTGTCTGCATTGCACTCTTTCCCAAAACCTGCTGTTGCTGGTCTGTGCCTGCACACCTGCTGTTCCCTGAGTCTGGACTATGCTTCTCTCTCTGTCCTTATGCAAAACTCCGGTTCATCTTTCAAAAAACAATTTGTATATCTCCACTTCGGGGAAGCCTTTTGTGATATTTCCCTCCTTGAGTCAACCCTTTCTGTACCTTATGCTTATGATTACACTTACCTGCTGAATACAGCTCAGTCCTCAGGAGCCTGGAAGTAGCTCTGTGCATGTGATGGGGAGCCCTGATGTGCTTGGGGGAAGTCCAAATGATGTGGCACATATTAGAACCCACAACTGAAGCCATCTATCAAGTCGCAAGCCCTATGCCGGTTTCTGTTGATATTGAAGATGATATTTGCATTGCCTCACTTGGGTCCTCCATTCAGGTCTCATGAGGTGAAACCAAGTGTTGGCTGTGCTGTGGCCTCCTCTGGAGACCTTCAGCTGAGACCCCTCCCAAGCTCATTCAGAGTGTTGACAGATTTCAGTTTATTGAAGCTATAGGGCCCAAGTCCCTGATTTGTGCTGGCTGGCAGCCAGGAGTCACCTTCTGTTTCTTCCATGTGCCCCCTCCTTCCACCCCTCCCAGCGTGGTAGTTGCTGCTTCTTCCAGGACAGTAGGAGTGTTTCTCAGATGAATCACCTTCTTTGAAAGTCAGGCCCACTCACGATAACTCCCTTTTGACCAGTTAGTCAACTGATCAGTAACCTGGCCATAGGACTCGATCCTATTACATTTATAGGTTCTGCTCACACTCAAAGAGAGAGTTAAACAAGAGTGTGGATGACAGGGAAAGGAATCTGCGACCAGAGTTCTACCTACCACAATCTCTTCAATGATGGAAGTGCTAGTAGCAGATAATTTATAGATTTTTAAAAGAAGGCTCTAATTTTGGCATCCCACCTGTTTTCATCTGCCCTAAAGGCTTATAATTTAGGTGCTAAAGTATCATAACAACAATATACTTGTTAATAACTAACACTGTGGGCTTAGTTTGCCATGGGCCTTGTTCTCAGTACTTTGTATAATTGCTCATGTAATCCTTACGACTGCTCTACAGAGTAGACACCTTATAATACCCATTTTACTGAAGAGCTAACTGAAGCACAGGTAGTAAAATAAACTGCCCAGGTTCGCACAGCCAGTGAAGGGCTGATCAGACTTCTCACTAGCACATCAGCACGTAAATTAATCCACAGGTAGGTTTTGCATCATACCCACATACACAGACATTACAGTGACACCAAATTTAGCTGACCTGGAAAACCAATGTGTTTGGGACAGGAACATCCTTGACTTTTGTAACAAAGTTGCTTATTACTATGGATAAATGTTTTGTTTTTATCATAACCTGGAATTATAAGTTGTTTTACAATCTAGTGAGGGAGATGGACAGACATGTTCAAATTCTAGAAAAGTGGATGTAGTAGAATTTTAAGAAACCATTTGGACTGAATGTGAGCAGGGGAGGGTCTGTGCAGGGGTGCTGCAGTGAAGGCTCCAGGGGGATTGAAGCAAAGCTATCTGGGGGAAGGGGCAGAAATGCAGCTTGCGCAATGGCCACCATTAGGCTGCACAGTCTACAGATCCCCACAAAGGCCCCACTCTTGGCTTCCACCCATCTCCCACCCACCTGTCCTTCAGCATTCTGGTCCCCTTTTAATGACTTACCATTGCCCAACAATGCTTTAAATCTGCACGTCATGCCATTTGGGGCCGCTTACCACCTGGCCATGTCTCCTTTCCAGCTTCCTCTCCGACCGTCTCATGCCACCCCACGCCCTCTGCCACCCCTACTCACATACCCTGTGCTAGAGACCTGGTCCACTCCAATGGAGGCCACTTGCCACATGGGGCTTTGAGCACTTAAAATGTGGCTAGCCTGAACGGACATGTGCTGTAAGTGTAAAATACATACTGGGTTTAGAAGATAATGTAATAAAAATGTAAAATAACAACATTTTAAATATATATGATGAAATGATAGCATCTTGTATGTATCAGGTTAAATACATTAAATTTGATTTCACCTGTTTATTTTGCTAGATAATGATTTCTGTGGCTCACATTCTATTTCTACCACACAGCACTGTTACAGGTACCATTTCTGTATTTCCCAGAAGTCTCCAAAGGCTTCCGCTCTTTGTGCTTGTCCCCATATTTGTGTTCGCCTCAAGATGTTCTTTCCCAGCCTCTCTGCCTGGGAAACTCTGTGTGCCCTTCCCAACCTCAGTCCTTTCTTCCAGACAGCCAGCTGTCAGCTCCTCACTCGCTGCCTTTTAGGAGTAGCTCTCACAGGTTCACATTATCTAACAGCTGTTTGTCTGTTTGTCCATCCTAGCAGTCACCAAATCAGCGACTAGAGGTCCAGAGTGTGCTTATGTAGTTTGCCATCTTTCGTCCTCTGTCACTTTCCAGGTCATCAAGTGAACTTAGGAAGGCATCTACTGAATGAACACAATAAAAGAAATATTACAATATGAAAGGTAACTGCTCATCAAATGAGTTATGTGGAAAATTATTATTTTAGGAAGTCTGAGGAGAGAAAGACTGTTTTTGCTTCCTCTATAGGCTCTTATTCAGAAATGTGGTGAGGAGAGTGGGAGACAGGATACAGCATTTGCCAATCCTGTGAATAGGGTGTATCTGGAGAGTTCTAGGTCATTCTTTTTGCTGATGAAGAAGAGGTGTAGTCCGGAAAGAGAGCCAAGGTAGAGCCGGAAACAGGGAGTGAGCTGCAAAGGGGGCTGCTTGGAAATGAGGGGCAGAGTCAACACAAGATTATTGTGATCTGGTTTCACTGGGGAGGTGACAGAAAAGGGTTTAAGGGCCACACCCAGGTTGGTCATTCGGTGTGCATGACTTTGTCTGATGCTGTGGCTGTGACTTTATCCTCATATTTAACAGAGTCTGAAGCTGTTCCAGAATTAGCTGTTTTCTTGGCTTACAGAGTAACACAGTGCTTAAGAGTGGACTTTGGCATCTGACCATCCGCCAGCCTGGCTTTGTGAGTGTAGGCAAGTCAGTTAACCTTTGTGGCCTTCAGTCTCCTCATTGGAAAAACACTGACATGCCTACCTCACGGGGATGCCATGAGAATTAAGTGAATGGCTAAATGGAAAGTTTTAGTTTGGTGCCTCAGAACAATTCCTAAGTATATCTTAAGTATCCCTGAGACTGCCTTTCTTACCTTCCTTTCGTGTTATGTTTGTCCTACGTGCTGATGAGTGAAAATGAAAAAGATTCTAGTGATATGCCCAGGATCAGAGTACACTTAAATAGAAAAGGCTTTTGGGATCTGTTATTAATTTCTCCAAGGCAAGAAGCCAGGTAAATGGTATTTGTCTGGAACAAAGTAGATAGATCCATAAAACTGTGAGCTGGTTCCTAACAGTATGTGGTTCAATAATACAATATCTGCAAAACAAATTTTGTATTTACAGGAAAGCATGATATCAAAGCAAAGACTATTAATAACATGCTCACTGAAGTACTTCTTAACACATGATTTGAGAGTCTGTTGTGTGCGTGAAAACATTAAGTGGAATCCTTTCTTTTTTTTTTTTTTAATTTATTTCTAGGGGAGAGAGAGAGAGAGAGAGCGTGAGCAGGGGAGGGTCAGAGAGAGAGAGTCTTTTTTAAATGGCTTTATTATTTTTGAGAGACAGATCATGAGCAGGGGAGGGACAGAGAGAGAGAGAGAGACAGAGAGAGACAGAGAGAGAGAGAGAGAGAGAATCCAAACCAAGCTCCAGACTCCCGGCTGTCAGCACAGAGCCTGACTTGGGGCTTGAACTCACAAACAGTGAGATCATGACCTGTCAGCGACTTAACCAACCGAATCACCCAGGTGCCCCAAGTGGAATCTTTTCTTAGTTACATTTGCATACTAAACAAAATCAAAACAGTTTGGGGAAACACAGCTAAACATAGGTTATAATGTTCATCACTGGAATTGGACCATCCCTCTTCAGTCTTGAATGCTTAAGATTGGCTTTTAGAGTTAGATTCAAAGAAAATAATTCTGATAAAATAAGTCTCAGATGAAGAATATTTGTCTTAATGTTTAGTTTTGGTCTCTCTTTTTTAATAAAAAATCACTTTAAACAATTACATTTTTGAACACTTTATGGTTCCGAGTATCTTACAGGGTGTGTAATATCAAGTGATATATATGGGAAAATATTTTCTAAAATGCAAAACTATATACAGATGAAAAGCTCTTCTCTAATCTACCGTATATTTGCTAAATCGAATTTCGGGATGCTTAATTTTCTTGCTTTTAAGAGGCGGGACGTGAGATTGCGTCCTGATGCTGTTCCAGGACCCGAGATCACGCCTTCCAGGTACCTGGTTGGTGGGCTCTGGGAGAAAAGAACCCAGGAGATTTAGTTTAGCAGCTTAAGCCGCAGTTGGCTCAGAAGCCGTGCCTCCGTTCCCTCGCTGTAGCCCCGGATGTCCAGTGACCCGGCTCAGCTCCGGTCCTCCCAGCCAGGCCGGAGCGTCAGCCCAGCTTAGTCCTCGCGCTGGGGCCCACGCTGACCAGGCGGTAGACCCCGGCTTCGGCCCCTCCCTTTACGCCTCACTGGGCGAGGCCGGGGTTGCGGGGACAGCGGGTGGGGTGGGGAGTGGGTGTCCGAGGGGCGAGCGATCGCTCGGCCCTCTGCTGCTTCTGCCTTTCGGTTGCTAGGAGTCGGGGAAGCAGCGGCGCTCCGGGGATCGCCGCGGGGCGTGCCGGGACAGCGGTGGCTCGGCGCTCCGCTGCTCGTGCCTGCCGAGGGCTAGAGGCCGGAAGAGCGCAAGCCCGCTAGCGGCAGCCGCGGGGCGTGCCGGGACGGCGGTGGTTCGGCGCTCCGCTGCTCTCGCCTGCCAGTTGCTAGGAGCCGGGGACGCCGGCTCGGCAGCCGCGGCCTGCGAGCGGCGATGGATCCCGGGAAGGTGGGTGCGAGCGGGCGGCTCGCCGGGCCGGTCCCGGGGTCGCCCGTGGGCCCGGAGCGCACGGTTGTCGGCGTCCCGGCCTCCCTCCCACAGGGGTCGCGTCGCGCGCTGGGTGTCGTAGGAGTTGGTCCGGGGCGGGGTGAGGCAGGGTGTGCGCGTCGTCGGGAGCCCGGGGCGGCGCGGCGGACTGTCGTCGACGGGACGGGCGGCCTCGCGGGGTCGCGCCGCCGCCTCTGACCTGCGTTAGCGCCGCCGCGCCCGGCTCCGGAGGCCGGGAGCGCAGGGCAGGGGCTGGAGTTTTATTCTGACTTCTGTACTTACTTGCGTGGCATCAGGAAAATGACTTAACAGGCCTTATTTTGTAGTTCATAAAATTGGGACGTTAGTAATAGCAACTTCATAGGTTTTATAAGGAGTCAATGAGACTTTGTAATAGAAGTGCTCAGGTGCTTAAAACAGTGTTATTAACACTCAGTAAATTTTATTTTTCTCGTGTATTCATTCCTGAACGGTAAAAGATGAGAGTTTTAGTTTGCATGCATTTCCTACTTTTACCCGTCTTTATTATTTACCTTTGCAATGTTAGCTAATATTCTCTATCTATTTTGTGTTATGCCAACTTTAGATAGTATCTTTTAACTTCCCATTTATTAGGATTAGGAAATTAGTACCGTATGCTGCCCTCCATCTATTTTTAAGTCCACAGACTTCCTGACCCCTGTCATCTTCCATACCATTCCCTTGTATTTTCATAAGTCATTCTTAACTTATATTCTGTGTATTGTAGGTCGATTTTTGAAATCGAAAGCCAATGCACAGTACAGTACATGATTGTGTGTAAGTGTTTACCGCAGAATTAAGTCATGTGAATGCACTGATAGAGAAAATGTAGTAGTGTATTCCTCAACTCCTGCTGCTCAAGGAACTATGTTTTGGCATCAGGGTCACTAGATCATATTTTCTTACTTTCAGTTAATTGTACCACAATATAGTGTAGTTCCTATTTGGAGCATGTCTTTCTTAAATGGTCCTTTGATTTTCCTGTAATTTGTATTTGCCTTTACTTTGGCAAAAAAATGCTTCTTTTCTTAACCTTATCACTTACATATTTTAGCTTATTAATCAGTCATATTATCTGTTTAATAAAATCTGCTTTAAAAAATTCTTCCCAGAGTTCTCTGACTCCAGTTCTAATAAGGGCTATTTTTTTTCCTAGACCTTTTCAGAGCTATCATCTGGAAATTTCTTTTATTTGTAATTCTGGGTTAGGTCTATTTTTTTTTTTAACCCAGTGGCATCAACTTTCTTGAAATCCCCCCCCCCCCCCTTTTTTCCCCTGGAGTAAATCCTCAAGTACCTTTTTAAATGAGAGTATGAAGAAAGAAAGTCTTTAGTATACTGATATACTTGTTTGAGACTTTAGCTTAACATAGAAGTAATTTCCCCAGGACTTGGAAGGCATTCTACTTTTGTCTCTGGCAACCAGTTTGGCTGATGAGATATTTTTGAAGTAACATTTCTTACTTTCCAGAAGATTTAGGATCTTGTCCTTGGTGTTCTGAACATATATGTCAGTTTGTTTATTGTTCATCTTTTTTTCATTCATTATTTTTGACATTTGATTTCCCTTTCAGAATGAAAACTCAAGTCTACCTTTACTTCTAGGACACTTTTTTCTTTTGTTAAAACGTTTTATTTATTTTAAAAAATTTTTTTCTTTAAATGTTTTATTTATTTCTAGGAGAGAGACAGCATGAGCAGGGGAGGGTCAGAGAGTGAGGGAGTCACAGACTCTGAAACAGGCTCCAGGCTCTGAGCTGGCAGTCAGCACAGAGCCCGACGCGGGGCTCAAGCCCACGAACCGTGAGATCATGACCTAAGCGAAAGTCGGACGCTTAACCGACTAAGCCACCCAGGCGCCCCACGTTTTATTTATTTTTGAGAGAGAGAGAATGCTGTGTTCACTCAAGGGAAGGGCAGAGAGCGAATCTCAAGCAGGCTCCTACCTGTCAGGGCAGAGCTGGACGAGGGGCTCCACCTTACAAACAATGAGATCAAGACCTGAGCTGAAATCGGGAGCCTGATGTTTAACTGACTGAACCACACAGGTGCCCCCAGGACATTTTTTTGTATTCTGTATTTCCTTCTTTCTGTTTTCTCCATTCTTTCTGGAACTGACTCAGCTGCTAGATGTTGAATTCACGGCACATGTTTTCCATCTCCTTGACTTTCTTTTTTTAACATTCTGGTTTCTCCAACTTTAATGTTGACTTCATCTACTAATTGTTAATTCTAATTAATTAATTTTGAAAACAAAGAACTGTTATTATTACAAGTAAAGAGATAGGGTGATAGCTCTCAAAGCACGATCTCCCCTTGGGGCTAGTGCAGGAAGCTTTTTTTAATTCTTAAAAATTAAAAAAAAAAATCCCCATATTGTTAACATACAGTGTTATGTTAGCTTCTAGTGTACAATATAGTGATTCAACAATTTCATAAATTACTGACTGCTCATTAAGACAAGTGTACTTCTTTTTTTTTTTTTTTAAATATTTTTTTATTTATTTCTAGGAGAGAGAGAGACAGCGTGAGCAGGGGAGGGTCAGAGAGAGAGGGAGCCACAGACTGAAACAGGCTCCAGGCTCCGAGCTGGCAGTCAGCACAGAGCCCGACGCGGGGCTCGAACCCACAAACCGCGAGATCATGACCCACGCGAAAGTCGGACGCTTAACCGACTAAGCCACCCAGGTGCCCCAAGACAAGTGTACTTCTTAATTCTTTTTTTTATTAAAAAAATTTTTTTTAATGTTTTATTTATTTCTGAGAGAGAGAGAGACGATGTGAGCAGGGGAGGGTCAGAGAGAGAGAGGAAGACACAGAATCTGAAGCAAACTCCAAGCTCTGAGCTAGCTGTCAGCACAGAGCCCATTGCGGGGCTCGAACCCATGAACCGTGAGATCGTGACCTGAGCCAAAGTCGGCTGCTTAACTGACTGAGCCACCCAGGTGCCCCAAGTGCCTTTCTTAATTCTTGTCACCTGTTTCACCCAGCCCCCACCTCTCCCTTCTGCTAGCCTTTAGTTTGTTCTCTATAATTTAGAGTGTCTCTTGATTTCTCTCTCTTTTTTCCCCTTTTGCTCATTTGTTTTGTTTCCTAAATTCCACATATGAGCAAAATTATATGGTATTTGTCTTTTTCTGACTGACTTATTTCACTTAGCATAATACTCTGTAGTTCCATTCATGTCCTTGCAAATAGCAAAATTTTATTCTTTTTATGGCTGAGTAATATTTCATTGTATATGTATACATCTTTTCTTTTTTAACTTTTTTTAATGTTTATTTATTTTTGAGAGGGGGGAGACTCGAGCAGGGGAGTGGGAGAGAGAGAGAAGGAGACACAGAATCCGAAGCAGCCTATAGGCTCTGAGCTGGCGGCACATAGCCCTTGCAGGGCTTGAACTCATGAACTGCGAGATTATGACCTGAGCCGAGGTCTCACCCTCAACCTACTGAGTCACCCAGGCACCTCCCATCTTCTTTATCCGTTTATCAATCAATGGACACTTGGGCTATTTCCATAATTTGGCTGTTGTAAATAATACCGCTATGAACATTGGGGGTGTATGTATCCCTTTGATTTTTTTTTTTTAATAAAGAGTTCTCTTTTTCTTTGGGCCATTTTCTTTATATTTTTTCTTACAAGATTTTATTTTAACATAGAGCATAGGATCGGTCTCGGGAGTAGAATTTAGTGATTTTCACTTACATATAACACCCAGTGCTCATCACAAGTGGCCTCCTTAATGCCCATCACCCACTTAGCACAACCCTCTGTCAACCCTCAGTATATTCCCTAGAGTTAAAAGTCTTTTCTCTTAGGGCCCTTTTCTTTGTTTTTCTTGATTCTTCTCCTTCTTATGTCATTTTTTTCCTGAAATGCCTGGTTGACTTTTCATATTTTTTAATGAAGCACCAGATTAATTAAAGTAAGTTTTTTGACTAGTAGGGGTTTGCTCTGCTGGTTCCCTCTCAGTCCTTTCCCAGAATTGCTTGTACAGCCCTTGTTCTTAACCACTGAGATAGGACTCCAGAGCGAGGAGATTCCTCAGGCTCTTTACTTCCCAAACTGCTTGATTGTCAGACATGTATTTCGTTCTTAGATCTTTTCTCGCCTCTGTCTTTCTGTGATCTTGGATGACATCGATCACATTTTGCATTACTTTGGATTATTTTGGGGGTCTTCTAATACATATTTATAAAATATTTCAAAGTAGCAAAAGCAGCTACTGAATACTCATATTAGGTTCTCATTTACAAGTTGGTCATTAACTTTTTAGGAAGTTAATCTCCTGGTCATTAGAACCTAGTCATGTAATTATTATAGTGCTGAAGAATTAGTGTCTTTTGTTCCATAAAGCTAAGGGAAGGATAAAGCCTTCATGACCTGAGCCGAAGTTGGACGCTTAACCCACTGAGCCACCCAGGTGCCCCGATGTTGTTTATTGTAACTTTATCATGTACCAAGCTCTTCTTTAGGTTCGTGTCAGTATATTTATTTGCTGACATTGTGGCTATCGCTAATATAACCAGTTTTGTGTCTGCTAGGATATACCAGGGCTCAGTATTTTGTAGTTATTTTTAGAAAACTAAAACTTAATGGCATGTTTATTGGCTTTACACCTGCTTGATAAGGGTAATGACAGTTTTCAATGATGGTTCTTTAAAACACTTTAGCTTACCTTGCATCCAGTGTTTATGACTTTTATTAATTTCAGTGCTCAATGAAGATTCTAGAAATTTCTAAATTTTTCTGTTACATACCAAGTAATTGGTAATGTGTGAGTTTATTATTATCATGAGACTTATTAATCATAGCTTGAAATATGTAAACATAAATATGTAGACGTATATATGTTTATATTTAGGTTATCCTTAGAAGAAAATAAGTTTCTACTTTCTTTTAAATGGTGGTAGCCATGTTCCAGCCATTCACTTAATGATAAGTGCTGTTAACTGTTCAGATCGGTGCAGGGCTATTTCATTCTGTTTTCAGAAAGGCTGCATGTTCTAGGGCAAGTACACTGGGCTCTCTCCAACAGTTGGTCCTCACGGACCCACTTACGAGGTTCTCCTGCATGAAGAGACCCAACATTTAGCTACTCCTGACAGCCTCAGGCTGTGTCCCTGTGGTGGCCTAACCCCCTCTGAGCAACCTTCTGGCAAAGCCCAGGCCTATCAGAAGAATGGCAGTTTGTTTGGCCAGCACCTGGATAGGGCTGGCCCCCCTTCTAGTACACTTGCAGTTACACGTGCTTCCTCTGTCCCTTGGAGATGTCCGTGTGTGTCTTTAGCCCAGGCGTGTTTCTCCCTAGGACCTGAGAGCCATCCCGGAAACGGAACCCTCAGGAAGGATAAGGCCTCTGCCTCCAGGTGTCTGGGGGAAGGTGGGCTCCTGACTTCCACAGCTGCCTGCCTGCAGACACAGCCACCTGGCTGCATTCACATGGACCACCCTGTGTGATTTTCCTGCCTTTCAGTGCGCCTCCACCCCTGCACAGGTGGGAATGGAGCTCAGCTACCCCCTGCTGTCAGCGGTTTGTCTTTAACCTCTTCTTACACGCTGATTTGCAGTCAGCTCCAGAAGGGACTCAGTAAATGTTGTGGTTATATCACACTTTGACTAGATTCTTAAAAGTGATTGCTTTTTATTTATTTCTAATTAGCATACTTATGAACTATTGCGAATTATTTTTCTGTTTCCCTAATTTTCACACCACTAGGAAGATTTTTGGTGGCTTATCCATAAATAAGTATTTGTTTTTCATTTGTACTACATTTGCTTTGAATCTGAACCTTACAGAGGCGCCTGGGTGGCTCATTTGGCTAAGCATCCGACTCTTGGTTTCAGCTTAGGTCATGATCTCATGGTTTGTGGGTTCGAGCCCTGCATCAGGCTCTGCGCTGACCACGCAGAGCCTGCCTGAGATTCTCTCTCTCCATCTCTCTCTGCCCCTCCTCTGCCTTCTCTGTCTCTCAAAATAAACAAACTTAAAAATAAACAAAAATTTTTAAAAACTCTGAACCTTAGAAAAATTTTACCTTTTTTTGTACCCTCAAAGTAGTGTTTCTCTAAGGGAAAATAAAATAATGTGGACAAATCTATCTTGTTGTCTACAGGAAACATCCTTGAACAATTTGCTTAGTGAGTTCCCTTCATTATTCAAATATACCCTGCACATGGCAGGCGGACTGTGTCTGGAGCTGTGGATGAGTCCTGCTGTTGTGTGCTCAGCACCTGGTGGGGACAGCCTCCCAGGCAGGGACACTTCAGGGGAAACCGCTCCTTTGGCAGCTAGATATGTGCATGGGCAGTGGGACTCGACACCGACGTGGGGCCCTGGGTGACATGGGGAAGGTGGGGAGTGTGTTACCTACTTTATAAAGTAGCCAGAGGACCATATTCTATAATCGTTTATGGGTACAGTTAGACAAGGGAGTAATTTTTTTAAAAAAATCTGTATTACTAATGCCTTTCCTTCTAGTAGGTGGTAATTTCTTGCATGTCAAAGACTAATTGCCATTGACTTACATGGCCTAATGAAAAAGCAGCTCACTAGAGTGTAGAAAATTAGTTCTTTAAACTTTAAAAATTCTAACTTTATAATTTTCTTTTTAGAGAAGAACGAAGGATGATACTTGGAAAGCAGATGATCTCAGAAAACACCTTTGGGTAATGTATTTTAACGTTTGTTTGTTTATTATTTCTGAGAGAGAGAGACAACGGGAGCAGGGGAGGGTCAGAGAGAGAGGGAGACACAGAATCTGAAGCAGCTCCAGGCTCTGAGCTGTCAGCACAGAGCCCGATGTGGGGCTCGAACCCACGAACCGCGAGATCATGACCTGAGCCAAAGTTGGCCACTTAACCGACTGAGCCACCCAGGCACCCCTGGGTAATGTATTTAAAGATTTGAGTTGGAGTCCTTTTGGACCTTGGATAGTTTCATGGACAATTTTATTTGCTTTTCAACACAGCCTAACTTTGCTTATGTGTGGCTCATTTCAGAAGCATTCTTGACTCAGAGATAATAGCTGTCTGGAACTGTGGGGGGTGGGGTTGCCCAGCCCAGTGTCCCACCAGCTCCATCAGGTTTCTGTTACCCTTCAGGGCATGTGTCATGTGTGCGTTAGTGTGCACTGAGTGTTCTTGTGTGTCTGTGTGTCTATATGTGTGTATATGTGTGTGTGGTTTCTCTGTGAGAGTGTATGTGCTTGTGGTATGCTTGGATGTGTGTATCGGGTGTGTCCGTGTGCACATATGTGTGTGTGCATGTGTCTGTATGTGGAGGGGCTTGGGCTATGAAAATTAAAGGAAACCTCCTTCAGAATGGGGTCGGGAGGCCAGCACTGGGAAGGGGGGCTCTCAGGAACCACCACTCCACTGTCCACTGCAGGCCCGACGGGAGGAGATGCACCTCCCAGGTGACACTATTTTACTCTCCCAGCAGGAGGAAGGAAGGTTTCCCCTCCCCTAGCCACAGCTCAGCCCATGAGCAGCCACCACACTTCCGGCTCCCAGCTTACCCCAGTGGACTTTAGTTTACAGCAGCCCCTCCCAGCTCCCCCTTTCCTCTATGAAGGAGCCTCCTCTCCTTTGTTCTGCAGAATCACCTGTGGTTTTGCCATAGCTTAACTGTCCCAGACTGTAATTCTCTGCCATTTCTGAAAAAAAACCATTTTTGCTGGTAAAATAACTGGAGGTTTTACTTCTAAGATAACAGGGGTAAGATTGAGACCTCCGGATCAGAACAGGGGTGGCGTTCTGGTCCTTTGAGTGGGACCCAGGCTGTTGCTGTCTCAGAAACTTTAAGACACAGCGTCAGTCTCCTTTTTCTCTCTCTCTAGTCCGTGTAGTGTTTCAGATTTGACTTGCCAGCAAACGTGAGTGTCTCTGATGAGTGGGTGCCCGTCGCTGGTCCTAGAAATGCTTGGTCTGCTTCCACTGCCTGTGGGCTCCGAGGCTCCTCCTCCAGGCCCACCTTGCTGGGATGGAAGCAGGTGAAGCTAGTGTTAGGACACCTCAGTGACTCCCATTCCGAATTCTGCTTGCTTTCTCTTGGTTTAGGCCGCACAATCAGGTAATCCCAAGGAAGATAAGAAACACAGAGAAAAGAAGCCGCAGAAGGAGTTGGAAATGGACTTCCCTGAATACAAAGAGCAAAAGCACAGGGACCCAGACCGAGACACCAAGCACAGAGAGAGGCCTGCCGAGAGAGACGGTCATGCTTCCAGGGAGAACCCTCGTGGGGACAGAGACAGAGAAAAGCCAAAGGAAAGGAAAAAGGACTCCAGAGACCGGGACAGAGAGAGGCACAAAGAGAAATACCGAGAGCAGGACGCAGAGAAGTCTCAGAGTCGAGGAAAAGACAGGGACAAGGACAGAGAGCGCAGAGCGAGGAGGGAGGAGCTGAGGCAGACGGCCCATCACAACCTGCTGGGCCAGCAGCTTCCCGAGCGAGCGGATCACAGGGCGCGGGCAGGTGCGTGTCCCCCGCAGGTGGCTCCCGGGCATGGACAGGTGCGTGTCCCCCCCCCAGGCGGCACCTGGCATCCGGCAGGTGCGTGTCCCCCGCAGGTGGCTCCTGGGTATGGACAGGTGCATGTCCCCCGCAGGTGGCTCCCGGGCATGGACAGGTGCGTGTTCCCCCCCCCCCCAGGCGGCACCTGGCATCCGGCAGGT